ATGAGGGCTTGAGAGAGTAAAGTGTCAAGGGCAAGACCCCAAAGAGATCTTTTTGTGGTGGCAAAAGAATTGGAAGCTGAGGGGATGTCCATCAGTTGAGAAATGGCTAAACAACTGATGGTATGTGAAAGCAATGGAATACTATTGTGCTGTAAGAAAGAATGAAGGGGATGGTTTCAGTAAAACCTGGGAAGATTTGTATGAAATGATGCAAAGTGAAATCAAGAGAACCAGAAGAACAATCTTCACAGCAATATTGTAAAGTTAGTCAACTCTGAAAGATGTAGTAACTGATCAACACAAAGACCCACCACAATTCCAAAAGAGTAATGACAAAACATGCTATCCACCTCATCATAGAGAATTGATGGATTCGAGTGAACACTGAAGCATTTTTTTTTCTCTTTGATTTTCTTTCTTATTTTCTTTCTTTTTTGGAACATGGCTAACGCAGAAATGTGTTCTGTGTAACTATACATATTTGCAATCAATTTTGGTTGTTTCTTTTCTTCCCCTCCTCAAAGGGGAGAGGGAAAGGGAGATAATTTGGAACTAAAAAAAGAAAACAATAAAAATGTCTCTGTGCTTTCAAAAAGGGTGAAAAGTCAGGGATGACATCTAGGTTGTGAACTTGGGTAACTTGGAGAATGGTATAATAGTAATAAGGCAGTGTGGAAGAGGGGAGATGCTGCGGGAGAAAAATGAGCTCAGTTTTGGAAATGTTAAATTTAAGATATCTACAGGACATCCACTGTGAGATGTCCAATAGGAAATTGGAGATGGGAGTCTACAAGTTAGGAGGGAGATTAGGGCTGGATAAGCATATCTAAGAATCATTAGCATAGAGATGATAATTGGATTAATGAGAACTGATGAGAATACCAAGCAAAATACCACAGAGGAAGAAGAGAAGAGGGGGTGGAATAACAACACCCAAGTTATTGAGCATAGATGAACATTCAGCAAAAAAGAATAAGGAGAGTCAGGCAGGAGAACCAGGAAAGAATAGTGTATCAAAAAGAGGTTGGAGACAGTGTCAAAGTCTTCAGGGAGGTCAAAAAGTATGAGGACTGAGAAAAGGCCATTAGATTTGGCAAATAAGAGATCATTGGTAACTTTGGAGAGAGCATTCAGTTGAATACTGAGCTTTGAACTAGACTATAGAAAGTAAAAAGAATAGGAGGAAAGGAAAAAGGGAGAAGAGATATGGGAACACAGCTAAACAGATGGATAAAGTGAAGGAATCCTTTTTCTCTGACTAGATTGCAAGTCCTTTTCCTGAAGAGATCCTATCTTATAGCTTGTCGTATCCACACAGTCTTGGTGTACCTAGCTCTTACGTGGATGATAAATTTCAGAATGTAGAAAAAACACTAAGCCTAAAAATAGTTAAAGGAATTTTTTTAAAGGAATTTTTAAGGAATAACTGAATAGATGGTATCATTTGAATGAAAACAGACAGATTACAGAGAATTACAAATGTGTAAATTATTTCTAGAGTGCTTTTTCCTGGAAATAACTTTTTCTGTTATTTTTATATAAATAGGCCTTCCAATATCTCTCCTACTTCACTATTAACTGTGTAAGCAAACAGCTAATTATGTGTTTATTGGTGAAGAAGTACTATAGTTTATGAGTGGGTTTCTATTTTTACAAGTATTTGATAAAACCTCATTTTAGGAAATAAATAAGCAGTAATCTCCATGTAAAAAACAATGGAATAATTAGGATGACTACAGAGAAATCCCTGGAGCTATGGGGATTCCCAATACTACAAGAGAAGAGTGGAAAGAAGGAAAGTCTGTATGGAAAGACCTTGATTACCCAGCTAAGAATAGAAAGGAAAATAGAATTACCCCATTAACTAACTCAGCACCCAGTTCCTACAAGACATTCTTCTAAGCATTAGCTGACAACATATATAGCAATGGTACTCTTAAAAATCACAATACCAGGGGCAGCTAGGTGGTGCAGTGGATAGAGCTCTGGGCGTGGAGTCAGGAGGACCTGAGTTCAAATCTAGTCTCAGGCACTTAACACTTACTAACTGTGTGAACCTGGGCAAGTCACTTAACCCCAACTGCCTCACCCCCCCCCCCCCAAAAATCACAATACCTTCCAAAAAACGAAAAGGAATCAATCTCTACTGGAAGAATTTCAGGCATTGTGCTAGACTGCAACAGGAAAATATTTTTTTACTATTATACTATTATATATAAAATACATTTTAAGGTCTCTTTTTCCTTAGTGAAAATATTAGGAAGTAAATATTTCTGTAGTCTAAAGTTTCCTTCCAGACTTAACAGAATGAAGGAAACCTTTATCAAGTAATAATAAACTTCCAAAAATAATGCCTTCCATTAAATCCCTTTTCCAAAGCCTAACCATTTTCTGTTAGGAAACTATTAAAGAAAACTCTAGAGTTCTAGAAAATGGATCAAGGGTGGTAATCAGACTTAGAATTGGAAATATTTTAATGTGGCGTCATCTATCTCTACTGGAGATGAATTGAACGATTTAAGAAATTGTGAAAAATTAATTTTCTCTCTTGTATTTAATAACTAATTATTGTATTATGACTAAGGTTTTTCCCCTTATCTACTTCCTCATCTAGAAATCAACCAGAGTGGAAAATCTTGGGCAGAGATTTACCCAGGCCAAGATATAATCAGACAGTAAAAGAAATTCTAATTTTGGGCTAATGAGTGCATTCCTGCTCATTGTGTTTGCTCAGACAGGTCAGGGAAGTGTTAATCTCTCCCTTTTGTCAGACAGGTGATATGGAAATTGATAAGTGTCTTTGACTAAGATTTGGGTGACCCAAGTCATTTATTCCAAAACTGTTACTGTAATATAGCCCACCTTGTCATTTTAACATTCATTTTCTCATTAAATGTTAACCAAGCAGGGTTGACTGCCACTCTGAGGAGCTCCTGCTCTTCCAAAGGCATATAAACTGAGTCTACCGACATTAGAAGTCTTTGGTCTAAAAGAGATGGCTAAATGACCACTTTTTTATTAATAAACGAGCTGGCCTTATTAATAAAATGATTAAACTACCCAGAAATTATGTCTCTCAAACCTTATTTTTTTCTTTTGGTGAGGCAATCAGGGTTAAGTAGCTTGCCCAGTGTCACACAGCTAGTAAGTGTCAAGTGTCTGAGGCCGGATTTGAAGTCAGGTCCTCCTGACTCCAAGGCCTGAGCTCTATCCACTCTACCATGTAGCCACTCCTCTCAAACCTTTTTAAGTGCCACAAAATGACTCCTTTAGGATGCACCACATATTTTAAGTGACAATTGTTTGGTTTGAAGAAGCAAAGTGTTAAATGAACTGTTATCTAAACACTGGACCTTTGCTCAATATTAATAGCAAAATTTTCTTTGTTCAGATGTGCCATAAATCCTTGACTTCAAACTGTTAAGAGAATTTCTAAGGGCAGAGGATATTGCTAGTTTGGGCTTATCTCTTTCTAAGCAGAAAAATGCTTAGATAAGAGTAATCAAAAATTAATAAAAAAAAAAACCTTTCTTGTGCTTTAAATTCAAAGTACAGAATTTTCTTCCACAACCCTCACCTCTCAAAGTAGGTCTTATAGATCATTACTTCTCTCTATTTCACCATGAGAGGACAAGAATTGGTACCACAAGGGAATAGTCTTCCTCAGAAGAAGCAGGACATCAGACTGAACAGGTTTAGTATCTGACCAACCAAAAACTTACCTAGCAAAACATTTAGGCCTTCCACCATTCCATTAAGAGTATTCTGGTTGCCACCCTGAAAACTATACACTCATATGCACTATTACAACTTCTTCCATTATAACCACAAATCTTTTCAGAAGCCAAAAGATGCTTCAAACTCTCAGGAAATGGAATGGGAGTGGAGGTGGGTGTTAGGGAGAGAAGATTAGCTAAACTGAACTTCCCAAGATTCATTTCTGCTAAGTTCTGCTCAGGGCAGTGTTTCATGAAAAGACACTTCAGTCTTTATATAGTCTGTCAATCAAAAGTCTACAGATTATATATCATTCATCCTAAGATGTATGTACAGAAAACACCACGGTAACTTTAAGACAACACAGTCAATTCCAGGTATTGCCTGGAATTCAATTCAACATTTACTATCTACTATGTATAAGGTCCATGAATAATTAGGCAGCTATATTTTAGGTATTAAGGATCCTTAGGGTAACAGTAACACTGAAAGCTAAACCTGACAGATGAGTCAAATTTTCTTTAGAAAATTGACCTTATGTCTGTAAAAACTGCCCTACACTGAGGACTGCACCAGCCAGCCAAATTAAAATAAACTCTTATTCCGATCACAGGCAAGTTAGTTCAAGCTTCTAATTAAGTTTCTTTCTCCTTTGGAAACATGTGTTTGCAGCCACTCTGACAGAGTGTCAGTATGTTTTATGGCATTGTCACAAGCAGCATATGTGAAAATCTCCCAGCCCCCTGACCATCTGCCCATAGTAAATCCCTTTGCAAACAGGTTTATTCTGGTGTGCCTGACACCCACTTCTCATGACTGACTAGGAAACACGCTGTTACTGAAGAGTTAGATGTCTCCAAATTGTCACAATTCTTTAATAAATGTCAGATTCTATCAAGATGGCACACAAAGTGCCAGGTCCAGATACTTGTGTGAGCAGTTACGGCTGCCTATCCGACAGCTTAGCATAGTGCCAGCACATGATGGGTATTTAATAAATGCTAGTTGACTGTCCCGAGGTGGGAGCTGAACGAGAGCAATCCTATTCCCTGACTCCAAATGTGCAGAAAAAAGGAGAGGAGAAGTCTTTCTCTTCATTTTGCACTCCCTCCACCCCCACCCCCGCCCCAAGCAGCCAATTCAGAGTCCGCAAAGCCATTGAGGGGTGGGAGAAAGAAGGTCCTGCTTACACGAGTTCCAATTTCTCTGCAAACAGGGCCGGATGTGAGAAAGCACAGGCATCCACCTCCCTCTCCTCTCCAACCCCGCAGCCCCAGTCCTACCTCTTCAAAGTCATCCAGATGCAAAGCAGACAGGAACGTCTTCAGCTCCCTGCTCCACTCCCCACCTCTTCCATCTAAACCTATGCTCGCAGTGCTCGGGATGCTGACCTAGGCCACTCTCCCAGGACTTCTCTCCAGCAGCAACACACCTGGTTCTGGAGCTGCTTGGGAGCCCCGCCCCCTCCAGATGTGAATCAGCTCCCCCACCGTCCCCTTCCCCCCCCCCGGCAGATGTGCTACCCCAGTATCCACCTCAGTAGTGGCTGCGAGCGTTCTGCGGCCCATCCAGAGGTGGGCGAAGGAGGGTCTGGGGCGGGGGCGGCTCCAGTCACCGTCAATATCCCACTCCCTCCCTCCCTCCGCTCCCAGCCCAGGCGCAGACCTCAGACCCTCTCCTCCCGGCCGCCGACCCGACGCAAAGCCCCGGCCCCACTCACAGAGGAATCCGCAGGAGACCTCGCGGCCCTCGGATTGGTCGCCCTCCGCTCCGGCGCAGCCCGCCTGCGCCAGGCGATTGGCTCAGCCCGAGGCTGCGTCAAGGAGGTACATTTGGAACGCGAGCGCCCCGCCTCCCGAAGAGCGGGGAGGAGAGGGGAGGGAGATAGCAGAGCACAGCGGGGGAGGGGGGAGAGTAGCGGTGTAGGGGGAGGGGAGCCCAACACGGGAAGGGGCGGGGCCAGACTTGGGAAGGCAGGAGAGAGGGCGGGGCAGAACTGGGAGAGGGGGAAAGGCGGGGAGCTGGGAGAGGTGGGGAGGGAGGAGAGGGGGATACAGCTGGGAAAAGGGGAGGGACCAGAGCTGGGAGAAGTGAGAGACAGGGGCGATAACTGGGAGAGGGGGTGGGGCCAAAGCTGAGAGGGGGGGAGGGAGGAGGAGGCTAGAGCTTGGAAAAGAGGAGAGGGAAGGAAGCAAAGCTGCGAGAGAGGGGAGGTGACCAGAGTTTGGGAAGGAGAGAGGGGCCCAGACCTGGGAGAGGTGAATGCTGGATGCTGGAATGCTCCAGTGCATTCTCTGATGTTCACTGCTTTGGAGCATTTCATCAGATTGACTGTGTTGCTTTCTTTTTAAAAATTTTTTTAATTAATTTTTTTCAATTAGCAAGTATTTATTTTCTCGCCGTTCCAATTCCTCCATCCTACCCCTTCCACTTAGAAGAAAAAACATGAAAAATGAAACCCTTGTAATGAAATAGATATGCATAGTCAAGCAAAACAAAATCCCACGTTGGCCATGTGTAAAAATTGTATGTTGTATTCTGTGTATTGAGTCCATCACCTCTCTGTCAGGAGACTTTGATCCTCTAGCAAGTGTTGCTTTCTTAGTCAGATGTCCCCATCTTTGCACTGAGGATAGGTGGTCGTGCCTCATTCAGCATAATGCATTCAGGAAAAAGGAGAGGGAGGGAGGAAAATAACCACATTTATAAACTGTAGAGCCTGAAAGCATCATTTGGCCCGCTGACAACTAAAGCTGATAAACGTAGCCCTTAGGATGACCATCTTTGAAGCTCCATAGGTTCATAGACTTTTTAAATTTTTTTTTTTTTGATGAGGCAATTGGGGGTAAGTGATTTGCTCAGAGTCACACAGCTCGTGAGTATTGTGGGTCTGAAGTCACATTTGAACTCAGGTCCTCCTGACTCTGGGCTGGTACTCCATCCATTTTGCCACCTAGCTGTGCCAGATCATAGACTTTTGAGCTGGAAAAGACCTGGACCATCCAGGCTAGTAAGGCATTTTTTTTTAAGGCAATTGGGGTTAAGTGACTTGCCCAGGGTCACACAGCTAGTAAGTGTCAAGTGTTTGGTCTGAAGTCAAATTTGAACTCAGGTCCTCCTGACTTCAGGGCCGGTACTTTATCCTAGTAAGGCATTCTTAACCTTTTGTGGGTCTTGGAGCCTTTTGGCAGTATGGTGAAATCTGTGGAGCCCTTACCAAAGTAATTTTTAGATACATAAACTATGTAGGATTGCAAAGGAAAATAATTATATTGGAATATAGTTATCAAAATATTTTTAAAATAAGCTTACATATCCTAGGTTAAGAACCCCTGATCTAGTAAACCCCTTCATTTTATAGGGAAAAAAGAAACAAACATTTATTAAGCATCTAAGTGCCAAGCACTGTACTAATCACTTTACAAATATCTCATTTCATCCTCACAACAACCCTGAAAGGCGGGTGCTATTATAATCACCATTTTACAGTTGAGGAAACTGAGGAAGGCAGTAATTTGACCACTGTCACACTGCTAGTATATGACTTAGGCTACATTTGAACTCAGGTTTTCCTGACACCAAGCCCAGAACTCTGTCCACGGTGCCACCTACCTGCATAAGGCAGGAAGAGGAAACTGAGTCTCCATGCCAAACTTTTCTGTAGTGTTGTGTTGAACCCTCTAACCCTCTTGTTCTGAGTTTGAGGTTTTTTTTCTGAAGATTTAAGAGCTCTGGAATTAACTGGCTCCTTTTTCCTTTAAGGAGACATCTTCTCTCCTGAAATATCCCAGAGGTGAAAAGTAAAGGAGAATTGGATACTGGCCTGCATGCCTGCTATCTCTCTTTTTATTTAATTTTTTTTTTTGCAAGTTTGCTTTCTGCTTTTCACTGATCTTTTTTCTGAAGGCATGGACATTTTGCAGTTGAAAAGGTCTTGGGAAACTTGGACTACTGCTAGAATCCCAGATTCCAGAAACAGGAACAGACTTGTCCATTTTTTTTAGCCTTTTTGTTATTATCTTGTAAACTGTCATTGGCTAATGTGAGTCATAAGTCAAAGAGTTCTCTGGGAATGTAAAATGCCTGCTCCTTAAGGACCTCTGATTGATGCTATGAGATGTTTAAAAGATTAACTTGTACAGAAGTCGTTTGTGTTCTTTGAAAATAAAGAGGCTCTATAAATTCAGGGAAAGGAAAAGAGTTAATCCAAAAGATGTGGAAGAAGCAGGATCTAGTGTAGTTTTAGAAGAGGAGGGCGAAGAGAGAAGGAAGAATTAAAAAAATAAACCTAAATAACTTAAAAATTGTGAGCCCAGGGGAGTAGAAGAATTACAGCACCAGGGGCAGGTCTACGACATTTTTTAGATTGGACAATTCAATTCAATTATATTTTCAACATAGATATGTCTTAGAGTCACAAACTGAGATGGAAACACGGACATCATCTACTCGTTTACACTCTTAAAAATAAATGAGGACCTCCTCCCCAAAGAGCTTTTATTTTATAACCATGAATATGCTGATAAATGTTTAACAATCTATTTCCCCCCAAAAAAGACCATATACTCCAACACACTTTAAAGTTTAATCTGCTGATAAATGTTTAACAACCTGCTTCCCCCCCAATGGATGCTCAACACACCTTAAATTTTAATCTTAATTTTCTTCTTAACTTTCTTATTTCTTAACATTCAACAAAACAATAAAGCAAGCCCCAATTTGTAGTTTGCCAAATTCCAAAGTATAAATGATGGCACTGAAAATTTAACAATTTTAACAGTTCAAACTGACTCCAGCACACCCCTGATTATAGTTCCTGATACTTAATACATTAGAAATTAAAATATCTTAGTATTATTGTGAAAATAGTTTTGGACTAAAGGACTCCCTGAAAGGGTATCTGTTCTCAGATCACACTTTGAGAACTAATGTACTAGCTGACCTCCAAAGTCTGTTCCAGCTTTATAACTGTGATCTTAGGTAATCCCCTTATTTTGTAAATGAAAAAACAGCCCTTGCTTCAACTCAGATCTCTAGAATCCCAATCTAGTATTCTTTCACCCCATTTCACTGCTTCTTTGACACCTGTTAAGTTCCAAATTGCTTCCATGGTTGTAGAGAAATAGTGAGAGGCCAGACCTGAACATGTAGATTTTAAGGAACAATAGTTTTAAAAAGTCAAATCAGTTTTTGGCTGCTTAGCTAATAAGGTAAATCATTGGTTTCATCAGAGGATCCATTCAGTTTTTGACTCTTATTTTGGCCTTCTTGTATGTAAGTTCCACTAGTTACAAAGACTGACTAGGTGAAAGTGTTGCTGTCTCAGCATAGTTCATCCCTATCAATGGGGAAAAAAATAAACTTCATCTTGTTTAAATTAAATAACTTTTTGCCTAACAAGGTTATTACTATTGTTCTATCTAATGTCTCTTCACACTTTATTTAGCTAGCCCTAGCTTGTGTTTCACATCCCTTCTAGCCTCCATCAGGAAACCAGGGCCTACCCAATATGGGCTTGCTGTCTATGCTGCTTCTGCCCCTCCCCTCTCCCCTCACCAGAAACAGGTAACCTCCAGAGGGGTCCAGGCCCCACTCAACTTTGGTATACAGCCTTGAGGCTGAGCTTTCTTGATAGGTGGGTAAGTGAGTGAAAATTGACTTAATCCTCTATACCTAGCTGGCCCCAGGCTATGCTTCACATCCCATCCAGCTATTCTCCAGCAAAGCAGAGCCTACTCCATTCTTGCATTTTTCCAATTTCCCTTTCTTCCCACCCCCCAACCCCTTTCCACTTCTTGCTTTTACTCTGGGAATAAAATTAAGATTATAATTGCTACTGGAAAGAGTCTAACACTTGATTCACAATCTCTATGACTTCTCAGACCACAATTATTTTTATACATACACATCATATACATGTGTGTATATATATATATATGCACATACACATATATACATACATATATACATGTATATATATAGACATATCACCTCATGTATATATGTTTGGGGTGTGTATATATATATATATACATGTATATATATATCACTATATATTCAAATGTAATTTCCTTTTTGGTAAGAGCTATCTTACTTTTTTTTTATTTGTATCTCTAGCACTTAGTACAGTGCCTGGCATGTAGTAGGTGCTTAATAAATGCTTATTTGTTCATTCATTCTTAGGGGATGTTAAAAGTCCTTTGTACTACCCTATTCATATAAAAATGTGAATAGCTTATAGTATAGTATAGAATAGTAATCTGATCTGAATGAAGATGGGAACAGCTAACCATGGTGTCACTCCTCTTAACAGGAAACTAGAAACACAAGATGAATCATTGGAAATTAGAAATTAAAAACTCATTTCTAAATTTTTACTCAAGAATTGATGTTTGCAAGTTGAGTTAGGATAAGTGGAGTTAACATAATGAACTTCTCTTGGCAACCAAAGTAATGTACTTCCT